AACGAGGACCTCCAAGCACAGCTGGGCATGGCTTCGGGCAGCTTCCTGGAGTTCGAGCGAGCCGAGGAGAACCTGACCTTAATGGAGACTCAGGTCGGCGACCTCGACCAGACGACCCAGAACTATGTCCGGGCGATGATATCAGAGTACCGAAGGCTGAAGCTGTACGAGGAGGAGACAAGGCACCAGTCCAGGACCTTTGCAAGCAAGCAGAACCGGACCGATTGGGAGAAAGCAGCAAGCAACCTCAAGGCGACGGCCATCGAGTTGAACAATTACCAGGCCATGCTTGTGGTGCAGAGGAACCAGGTGGCCCGGAACCAGGCGGCGATGAACAGGATGTGAAGGACCCGCTGGACGGCATGACGACCAAGAGGGGTAAGGTCCTGAAGCGCGCATCGCCAAACGTTCTCGATTGCTGGATCAAAGAGCGGCAACCTTTCTGCGAGGACTATGTCGTGGTGGACTGAGGTGGACTTCTCCTTCGGCGAGACCGGCACGACTTGTCCAATGAGCCGTCGACCCCGGACAAGGCGTACATCGTTCTGAACGAGCCGAATCTCGTCATCGGTGCCGAGTTCCCGGAGAACTACGCAGAGGCCGACTCGAATGTGCTGGCGCAGGCGGTCAAGAACTACTTGATCGAAAGCTTTCCTCCTGTCCCCAAGCTAAGGCTGAAGCTAAACGGCATCACAGAGTTCGAGGCCTGGAAGCTGATGGAAAGCAAGAGGCCAGGCCACATCATTCTGGACGTCGGCAACGTGAGGAACAACCTGGACATGGCGTGCAGGTTGGCCCGGCACCAGCACGGACAAGGAGGCACCTATGCCATGTACCTGGACCCAAAGCAGGGTCCCTACTTCGAGAAGCACCACGGCTGGCAGCATGCCATAAAGGAGCTGGGGGCCAGCTACGAGACCGCCAACGGCGCGACTGTCTTGCGGAGCAGGAAGAGGACGTCTCCGAATGGGAGTGTCGAGGCCTTTCCGGTGGAGGTCGCGTCGCCAGAGCAGGAAGCAGGCCAAGAGGGCCAGGATGAAAATGGAGTCCAGGTGCAGGAGCCGACTTTGCGCGAGAAGGAGGCCATCGAAAAGCTTCACCGCAACTTGGGGCACCCGAACAACAAGGAGCTGTCAAGAGTTCTTGCGTTGTCAAGGGCGAAGCCGCGCCTGGTGCGATGGGCAGCTCAAGAGCATTACTGCCCCAACTGCGCAGCCCATGGAGCCCCTAAAGCAGTTCGTCCTTCGATGGTGCCGCGCTCTTACGCTCCGAACGCTGTGGTGGGGGTAGACCTGTTCCAACTCCTAAACTTTGACGGCACGGACCAGTTCTGGATGCTGAATATGGTGTGTCATGGAACGAGCTTTCAGTTGTGCGAACGAGTCAAGTCCAAAGAACCCCCAGAAGTCTGGGCAGCCTTCTCGAGATCGTGGGGGCGACTCCTGGGATGGCCCCAGGTGCTTATTGCCGACCAAGGAACAGAATTCTTGGCAAACTTTAAGGCCAAGTGCTCTGACCTCGGCATCGTCCTGCACACGATCGGCGCCAGAGCTCCTCACCAACAAGGACGGACGGAACGCCACGGGGCGCTCTTTAAAGCAGTCTTTCAGAAAGCTGTTTGGGACTGCCCTCCTCAGGATCATCATGAATGGCGTCTTCTTCTCAGGGAGACCGAGGCTGCGAAGAACAAGTCCTTTAATCGATCGGGATTCTCCCCGGTCCAGCGCATGATGGGCCACGCGCCGCGCACCAATGGGGAAGTAATGTCGGACGACATTATTGACCCAGCCTTTCTGGGGCAAGGACAAGAGATGGAGAAACTTCTCTCGGCAAGGCGGGCGGCTCAGAAAGCCTTTGTGGAGATCAACACGTCCGAGGCTGTGAAGACCGCGCTTAGAAGCAGGTCAAGGGTGCATAGGCGCTTTGCTCCAGGGGAAGTTGTGTTCGTCTGGAGGTCTTGGAAAGAGAAGGGGGTGCTCAAACCCTCGTGGGTTGGCCCAGCTGTGGTTTTGATGCCTGAAGGAGCCAATGCCTATGTCAACACGCAAGGCCGTCTCTGGAAAGTTTGCAACGAGCACCTGCGCCTTGGAACTTCAGACGAGGTCCGCGGCATCGAGGCGGTGCACGAGGTGTTCGAGGACCTCAAGCAAAGGTTCGACAGGGCTGGCTCCAGGATCATCGAGGACCATACTCAAGATCCTCTTCCCGAGAGCCGCAAGAGGATGGCCAAGTTGGAGAAACGGACCGAGAAGGACTGGCGCGAGGACAGCCG